GCGGGCGGGCCACTCGGCGGAGCGTCTGCACGCAGGAGTTGCGGGGCAGGTGAGAGACAGACCCGCCCAGCATCGCCTGCGACGGTCCCCCGGCCGGCACCACCCATGCCCCCGGCCACCGCCACTGGTCCCGGCCACCGCCACTGGTCCCCGGCCACCACCGCTGGTCCCCGGCCAGCATCGCTGGGGCTTCACATGGGGTGTGAAGCCACCTCCGGACAGGAGCCGGGTGTGAGTGGCACTGGGGAGCAGGTGGGTGGGATGGAGAGCGTCTGCTTTCCGAGCAACTTGGGGACACCCGGACCAGTTAAATTCAAATGCCAGGGCTCCGTTCTCTCCAGGCACGGAGAGCACTGAGCAGCATTGCTGGGGCAGCCCGTGTTCACGGGGCTGTGGATGCAGTGAGCGGCAGAGCTGCCTCTCTGCACACCAGCCCTGGCTGCCCCCAAGCCCCTCCATCTCGCCACAGCCCTGCTGGGATGTTCCCTGGCTGTAGGGACACCCCCCGGCAGCCGCCTGGGCACGGCTTCGGGCACCCGCTGCCCACCACAATTCCCACTTCACCCCGCTGACACCAGTCATTCTGGCCCCTGTGCAACGTCACCACTGTTAATCATTGGCAAAGCCGGGGTTCAGCCCACCGCAGGCTGCAGGAGGGACGTGCCCCGGGCTGCGGCAGGAGGTGCCCGGGGAGGCATCGCTGTCGGAGAGCAGTGGCTGTGCCCTGGAGGAGCCCCCATCTGCACCGGCTGAGGCCGTGGAGGATCTGGGGACAGGGAGGAGATCCCTGCCCCGCTGCCACCTGCACACTGGCAGGGAAAGGGACTGCACGGCCAGACAGTGGTGCCGCGGCACAGCTGGAATGGCCACGGCACAGCTGTAACAGCCATGCCACTGCTTGGGGTTGCTGGAGCATCCTGCAGGGATGTAAGGTTTGCACAGGGCCAGTGAAAAGCCCCAGTCCTTCTCCCTCTCCGCTGGCAGAAGGGTGTCACCGGGTGCCCATCACTCCAGCCTCAGTGCCCCACTTCACCCTCCCACTCACCTCCTCTCAGCCGCTCATGCCCCGGCAGCCCAGCCGCGCTCTGGCCCCCACAGAAACCTCTCTTTCTTGTCTGTGCAGGACTGACACAAAGATTCCCAACTTCTCCTGCACCTTGTACGCGCTGAGGGTGAGCCACCGGGCCCAAGTGCACGGGGAATCGGTGCACTTCAAGAAGGTGAGGGAGGCCCTGGACAGGGGCTGCGCAGGGGCTCCCGCACCCACCAGGACTGGCTCCATGGGAGCCCCCGGCCCTGGCAGGACCCCGGGGCTGCACTCATCCTGGCTGCTTCTCGCAGGAGAAGAGGCGTGTGGTGGTGGCAGACCAGTACCGGAGATCCAGGACAAATGCAGAGGCATCCGCATCTGCCTCAGGCCAGCAGCCCGGCCCCG